CCTTGTAGAGCAGGAAGTGAGCTAACTGGGGAAATACAAAGATAGCTGGCAACACTGTGCCTATCTAAGATAGTGATCACGAATTTACAGTGAGACCAGCCATTATGGTTCTGGTTTTCATGTGTTTAGCTGTGTGGGTGACACAGAACAGGTAGAGACTTAGATAGGTTCAAGGTTGAGATTTTACAAGAGAGTATAATAGAGAGTGAGTGGGTCAAAATTGTTGAAGGTACAGGGGCATGATTATAATGAAATCTTAAGCCAGCCAAGGAGGGGTGAGGATAGAAAGGCCACTGTTGCTGTAGGGTGTTATATATGGTAGATTGGATGTCCCAGTAGGGTGAAGAATTGAAGTCAGAGTATAAGAGGGAGTGAGCTGGAAAGAGAGGTCAGGATGGTCAGAGGACAAATGCTTAAAATTGAAATATGGAGACAATGAATATAGACAACATGATGGCATCTACAGGTCAGCAGACTTTCTAAAGGGCCAGATAATAAATATTTTAGGCTTTGCAACCATACTACTTACCCCTCTGCATTTATAGCTGAAAGCAGCCATATACAATGTGTGGACAAGTTAGCATAGCTGTGTTGCAATAATAGCTTTTATTGTGATTTGGGTGAAAGTTTACAAAGCAAATTCATTTTCCATACAGCATTTCATACACATTTTGTTTCATGAAATTGACTGCAATTCCCCCAATATAACAGCTCCCTTCGCACTTCCTCCCCATAGTTACCTCTTCCCTATGTCCTTCTCTCCCATGCACTCCCACCCCAAGCTATCTCCCTATGCAAACACTGTCCAAGATTGATCACTCCAAGCCAACAAATTTTTTTTTTTTTTTCCACAAAAGCAGGTGGTGGGCCAGATTTGGCCAGCAGGCTGGATCCCCAGGGGTTGTATTTTGCTGTCCCCTACCTTAGTGTTCTCCAGAGTCGTCTCACCTTGAGGCAGGGGACCTAGGACTTTATACCCCTTCCTTCCATTGCCCTCCATCAGTGGGTCATTGGTTATGGGCTGCCCTTGAAGAAGTGGCATGATGAGGTATCTCCCTTCAGCCAAGGGTGATTCTCTAGAGAGGGACTCCACCACCAACATACCCCACTGCTAGGAGAAGGGGTGCCTCCTGGAGGGGGCATCTGAGCAGAGAACCACAGCTGCAATTCCACTGTGAATTGCAGAAGCCAAGACATTTCTAGAAAGAGAGCATGGTAAACAGTTTCAAACACCTGTCTTTTTTCTCTCCCCTGGGGTTAACACCTCCTCCCACTGGCAGCCTCCCCTCAGGTTCCTCTGAATCTGGCTCTTTACTGAACCACATGTGGCCTGACCTGGGTGTCAAGCCCCTGAAGAAGCTGCATTCTAGGTGATTGGTCTGTCACACCTGGGCCAGGCCTGGCTGGTCCAGTCACTTCCCCTCCCTGAGCTGGGCCAAACAAATGATACATAAGCTACAACTCTAGTCATTGCAAAAAAGCAGGGAATGAGTGCTGAGAAGGTACTAAAGCATTAAGCTTTTTCCTTTTCCCCATGGCTTTTCTTAATTTGTCATAACTATTTCCTATTATAGCATTCTAAGTAGAAAAAACTAAAAATTTGAGTTACTAACGACTGTTACTGTTCATCTTTTCAATGAAAGTATAAAAAGCATTTTAACACTCCATGCATATGTACTTTGTTCTTAACACAACAGTGGAAATGCTGCATAAAATTTAATTTTCTGTGACACTTCTTGATACACACACATCTACCACTACTGATGAGTAAGGGAGGACAAAAGGAGGAGGAACTATGGTTGCCCTGTCTTTCCTTCCCTTCGGTATCATCATTTTCAGCATAAGTGGTTGGCTACGGCAGGGAAGTAACACCGTAAGAAAGCATATGACAGGGCTTCTTGGTTGTTTGTGTTTCTTGGGACACTATTGCACAGGCCTGTGTTTGGGTTGAGGTTGGCCTGCTTGGATCTGTAGTGGGGCCCCACAGCCCAGTACAGCAGAAGCAGCCAGTAACCTGGACACAGATTAAGGGCAAGGGCAGCTGGAGCGCCAAGGAGGGGAGGGCCTGGAACAAGGTTCTCTGGAGTGACTGACCTTCATATGTTGACACAAGTAGGGACAAGCATGAAACCAGGGTCACGGGCAGAACAGAGGCTGGGATAGGAGGAGGCCAGGACACCTGTTTAAAACGTGAACTTTCTGAGGCTGAGACTTTGGAAGAGGAGTGGTAACAGCTGTACATTGAACTAATAATTAACTATTTCTATAACGAACAATGTGAATGGCTTTTGAACATGAGAAAAGTAATGCAGTCTCCATCAGAATTAAAGACGTGAAACAAAACTACAGTGAGTCTCATTTATCACCTATAGGAATGACAGACAGATCCAGGCATTTGATAACACACCATGCTGGCAAGAGTGTGGGAAAACAGTGTTCTCCTGTGTTGTTTGAGAGAGTATAAAATAGTGCAAGGTCTTGAAATAGTATCCATTAAAAGGCACACACTGTGGGAACTAGAATTTTCCACCTTTAGGAATTTAGCTTACAGATACTTTTCAGTGGACAAAGACACATGTAAAAAGAATAATCATTAGAATAACCTAAAAATAATCTAAATGTCCACCAGTACAGAATGATTAAATAAATTATGATGCAGCCATGCAGTTGAGCAAGGGGTCAGCAACTGATTTCTATAAAGGACCAGGTAGTAAATATTTTAGGTTTTATGGACCATAAAAGTCTCTTGTGCAACTACTCTGCTGCTGTAGTCTGAAAGCAGGGATAGACAATGTGTTAATGAATGGGCATGTCTGTATTCCAGTAAAACTTTATTTATAAAACCAGGGGGTGGGCTGGATTTGTCCTATGTACTGTATAGTGCTATGCAACCATGGTGATGAGGTAGCGCTCTGTGTACTGGCACAGTCATTTCCAGCATCTGTTGATAAGCAGGGCCCTATAGGATGCTGAAGAGCTCTGGTGATGCAGTGGTTAAAGCATTCAGCTGCTAACCAGAAGGTTGGTGGTTCAAACCCATCAGTGACTCTGTGGGAGAAAGATGAAGCAGTATGCTTCCATAAAGATTTACACCCTTGGAACCCTTTGGGGCAGTTCTACTCTGACTTATAGGGTCACTGTGAGTCAGAATTAACTCAATGGCAGTAGGTTTGTTGTTGTTGTTTTTTTTCATTAGTGCTATTATGTGTATGTGTGTGTGTGCATGCACATGGATGCACCCGTGCATTTACTCATTTTAAACCCCATTCTATGCATCAGATACTTTTAGAAGGATTCACAGATAATTCATACTCATGGTTGCCTTTGGGGGAGGGAAAAGAGGTTAAGGTTGGAAGGGAATAAGGTAAGATCAGGACTAGGGAAGAGTAGGATTAGGAGTGAGAGGCAAATGGCATGGGGTCAGGGCTGAGAGGGAACAGGGCCAAGGGCTTAATCTTTGTATTGGAAATTTTTCTGCTGTGTGCACATGTCACTTTTCAGGGAAAAAAAACAAAAAACTCAGGAAACAATGCTAGCCATGTTATTTAGTGAGCTGCTGTTATGTGACAAGCATTGATGTTGGTTCTAGGATGTAAGAGCAACAGAGAAGAAAGCAGACAATTCCCTCTGGTGGCATAGTGCATTTGACTGCTAACCAGAAGGCTGGCAGTTCAAACCCACCAGCCACTCCTTGGAAGAAAGGTAGGGCAATCTACTTCTGTAGTGATACCACCTCGGAAGTCCAAGGAGGGATCCCTAAGAGTCAGATCCGACTTGACGGCAGTGAGTTTGATTTTGGTTTTGGCATGGAGACATTGGAGTGATTGTGGAAGGTGTTCCAGGGGAATGGAGGAGAACAGTCACCCAACCTTCCGACCCGAGCAAGTGTGGCTTCTTTGGGAAGTTACCTCTGGCCCTTTTGTGCTGTCTATGCATCTCTTTGTCCCAGCTCTTCCCACACTGTGGTTGCTAGTACTGTAGTCATGCCTGAGGGAGTGCCTTGAGGACAGTGCTCATGTCTCAATAATCTTGATAGCCCCAGAACCTGGGGCTTTGACCTTGTAGGCCACTTGTAATGGTCTAATTAATAAATGTATGTTCTTGTCTTCAGGGACTCAGGGAACTGTGAAAATGGTTTAGGGAGACGGTGGGACTTGGAGCAAGGGGCTAAATCCTTCACTATTGGGATTGCCACCACGTAGGAGCCACAGAGGAGCTGATTGGGAGGAGGGCTTATGCTCTGGAGGAAGCAGTGCTGAGTGAGGCAGCTCCTCCCTCGGGTGGGGCGGGGGGTGGCAATTTGAGGCACAGAGGAGAGACAGCCTCTGCCCAGGAGGGTTCCCTGGGAAGCTGAGTCCAGGAGGGCCAGGCAGAGTGGTTGGGCAAGGCACAAAGGTGGCTGTAAACCTTAGGCTCTCTGCTGACCCTGAGGCAGACCTCACCCACCCTGGTGAGAGCTATCTCTGGCTGGGTGACCTTAGGGAAGCTGTTTAAGCTCTCTGATATTAGTGTTCTCAGTGAACAGTATTCATGTCTCAAACACTTATGGACTGCCTACCCTGTGCCAGCTACTCTGACCCAACCAAAAGAACAGCATTGATAGCTACTGTTCATTGGGTTCTTATTATTTTGTGCCAGACACTGGGCTGAGTATGGAGCACTGGGCTCCATATTATGTCTCATGATGCTGTCAGCATATCTTACGGCAGTACCCTCTACTGTCGTACCCATTGTACAAATAAGGAAACTGAACTCAGAGAAGTAGCCAGCCCAGCTCATTGCAGCTGGTAAATGCCAGAGCTGAGAACCAAACCCAGATCTGATGGTGATGTACTGGGCACCAGTACACCCCTCCACATAGGGGAATTGCACCTGTGCTGTCTCTTTATGTCCAGCACTGAACAAGAGGACCTGACCCCTGGCATTGCACAAAGGATGCACAAGGGAGTCATTCAGCCCTTGTTGGTACCATCTCTCCATCCCCAACTTTTGTCTTTCAGGACATCATCCCCTTTGGCAACAACCCCATTTTCCGCTACCTCTTTGGTTGGATGGTCCCTCCCAAGATCTCCCTCCTGAAGCTGACCCAGGGCGAGACCCTGCGCAAGCTGTATGAGCAGCACCATGTGGTGCAGGACATGCTGGTGCCCATGAAGTGCATGCAGCAGACCCTGAATACCTTCCACAATGACATCCACGTGAGCCTCTGCTGCACCCCTGGGTGGGGCGGGGCAGGGCAGGGGCAAGGGCAACCAGCCGGGCTGTGGACTCCACAGTCTACTCTCCTGAATGGCCTAGCCTTGGGCACGCTGTCCTCTGAGGCCTCAGCCCACTCGGAAAGGGTCCCAGTGGGAGAAAAGTCTCAGAGCTGTGTGACCGTCACTTCGGTGACCTCCTCAGATTGTATCCTCTAGTGTGGCAGAATTGGGGTATTCTCAACCAGGCCTAAGGGGGCTGGTGAGGCTTTGTTCAGTCAGGGGCGGGGGTGGTATCCCTATTGTGAGCTTCCTTGTGGGAGAAAAAGCACCAACTCCCCCTCCCTGGTCTACATAGGTCTACCCCATCTGGCTGTGCCCATTCATCCTGCCTAGCCAGCCGGGCCTGGTGCACCCCAAGGGCGATGAGACTGAGCTCTACATCGACATTGGGGCTTATGGAGAGCCACGCATGAAACACTTTGAAGCCAGGTCGTGCACGAGGCAGTTGGAGAAGTTTGTCCGAAGTGTGCACGGGTGAGTGGCTGGGAGTGTGGCTCAGAGTACTACTCCACAGGCGTGCAGGGAAGACCCAGGGTGCCAGGATTGAGAGCCGGGACCCCCAGGCTAGAGCAGCTCATCACCTACGGACCCTGTAGTTATGGGCTTCTTGGATCCAGCAAGCGAGCTATGGAGATGGTGCTAATTGTTCGCTGCCATTGAGTTGGCCCTGATTTGTGGCGATGCCTTACACAATGGAACAAAACACTGCCCGGTCCTGCGCCACCCTCTTACGTGATTGCAGAGTGGACCATTGCCATCTGTCAGGTTTTCCTTGGCTGATCTTTGAAAGTAGATTGTCAGTCCTTTCCTCCCTCTTAGTCTGGAAGCTCTGCTGAAACCTGTTCAGCCTCATAGCAACATGCAAACCTCCACTGACAGATGAGTCAGTCATACGCAGGTGACTGCATATGAGGTACACTGTCCGGGAATCAAACCGGGTTTGCTGCATGGAAGGTGAGAATTCTTCCACCGGACCTTCATTGCCCCATGAAGGTAGTAAGGTGGGAGGACTGCAGGACTTCTTGCCCCTTCTTCCTGCATCCCCTTTGTCCAGTGAATACACCAACACCCCTCCCCTGCTGAAGGCAGAAACCCAGGAGTCACCCCAACTCTGCCCCACGGAGTAGATGCTGGGTATGAGTTTAGATCTATTCAGAGGCCACTGTCTGCTGAGACCTCTTCAGATTGAAAAGACTAAAGCCAAGGAAGGAGGGACTTATAAAACCACAGAGAGGCTCAAGACAGACTGAGTATGGCTCAGACAACAGCCAGGAAGAAACCTCTGATGGACATAACATGGGGGAATCTCAAAATAATTATCCTGATTAGAAGAAGCCAGGCAAAAAAAGAGTACGTAGTGTAAAATTTCTCTTACATAACAATTTAAAATGCAAATGATTCTATAGTGACAGATTGGGGCTTGCCTGGGAATGGCATAGGGCAATGAGTAACAGAGAGTCAGGAGGAAAGTTCAGGGGTGGTAGAGAGGTTCATTATCTTATTTGTGGTGATGAGTTCATGGTTGTATACATATATCAAGACTTAACCAAATTGTACACTTTAAATAGGTGCAGTTTGTTGAACATCAATAAAAAAATAAAAGCCACACTGCCCCCAGTGGGGGAGGCAATGCGTGGAGAAGACCAAACCTGCAGGGAGGAGCCCAGCAGTCTGGGTTCCACTCAGGGCCACCACTGCTAAGCCACATCGTCACCAAGCCCCATTTCCCTATCTACAAAACAAGGATCAGCATTCCTGCCCTGTCCTTCTCACTGACACAACACACCCTCCCAAAATGCCCCTATGCTGCAAAGCGTGCTGCATGGTAGGGCTGGATGGATGTCCCCCCTTCACACCTCCTTGCCCCACTGACACCATTCCTTGTGTTCTCTCCTTCTTGTCCACCTCTGCAGATTCCAGATGCTGTATGCCGATTGCTACATGAACCGAGAGGAATTCTGGGAGATGTTTGATGGCTCTCTGTACCACAAGCTGCGGGAGCAGCTCAACTGCCATGATGCCTTCCCTGAGGTGTATGACAAGGTCTGCAAGGCCGCCAGGCACTGAGGCACAGCTGGCCAGGCAAAAGACGCATGGGTGGCTCCTGCCCCCCAGGGTTGGAAGGCCTCTTCCCTTTCCCTGAAGTTCAGCTGCTCTCCAGCTCCATACTTTCAGCTAGAAGCCCCTTCCAGTAGCCCCACCCAGACAGGCTCGCGGCTTCCTACTAGCACCCTAGAACCTGGGATCTGGAATCAAACAAACTTGACTCCAGTTCCCAGTTTAGCCACTCATTAGCTGCACGACTCTGGGTGAGTCACTTAATCCCTCTACACCTCAGTTTTTTTTATCTGTCCAAAGGGAATAATAGTATCTTCCTGCAGGTTGTTGTAAAGTCAAGCACCAGTCAGTCACATTGTAGGTGCTGAGTAAGTCACAGTTATTATTATTGCTTCCCATTCAGCACCACAAAAGTGCTTTGGCTTCTGCAGTTGAGTCCAGAAAGCTCCACATTAGGTCACCTGTGCACAGGTGTGGCTGGAATGATGAAGGGGATGCCCTGGAGTTGTACTGCCACTGCCTCAGTCAGCCAGAAGAGCTCCTCATGGGGAGAAGAGAGGTGCCTCTCCATTCTTGGGGCCTCAGTAGGGCAGCAGATGGAGCAGGCAGACCCAAGAAGTGCTGTGCCAAAGCCAGGTCCTATTCCAAAGTTCTGTCTGCTGTCCTTGGTGACATCCTGCCCCTTCTGTCCATCCTTCATACATGGACTTGCCAGCCCACCCTAGCCATTGTTGAACCTACTCAGAGAAGACCTTGTCAGTAGAGAGGATATGTTAAGGCTTATGGCTATCCTAGACTAGGACTGGGAACCCCAGGTGGAGGAAGTGGTCTCCACTCTGAAGTTGATCCTGAGAACCTGGGTCCCTCTCCAACCCTCCAGGCCTCCTCTTGTTCCCAGAACCCATTTAGTCATGGTGGGGGCACTTCCATGCCATTCTGTGGCATGGGGGCTGGGGTGGACCACATGAAGCCAGAAAATGGAGTCTGCCATCATTACATCTGTGAGGACTCATTGGTAGGTCTGAAAGAAGATCATGGACTTTTGATTTCTCCAACCATTTGTTTTTTTTTTTTTTTTTAACCCCAGCTGTAGTTAATTTCAGTGCCTTACTAATCCTAAGCTCAGAGAAAAGTTAGCTCCATTTCCGTTCTGGCAGAAGGAAATTCCCTCAAGATCCTTCCCCTCTGATTACTAAAGGTTGGCTGTTTATGCAGCTCTGTCTTATGAACTGCACAGCCTCAGCTGAAAACCTATAATCTAAAAAGGCATATGTAAGGGAAGGTGGAATTCAGTGAGCTGTGCCAGGCAGTGTGACATCTGGTGAGAGCACTGGGCCTGGAGCCCAGAGGCCTGGGTTTTAGTCCTTGTTCTGTCTGTGCAACCTTGGGCAAGCCACCTGTTCCCTCTGAGCTGCATTTTCATATCTATCACATCAGTACAGCCAAGACCTCCCAGACCCTTCTGCTATAAAAGACCACAGGTGTTCTTGAACAACATGGGTACAAATCCCATGGAAAGTAAGCAGAAACGTAAATGAACCAGGTGGACACTTGGGAGTTGTCCATCATTTCAGGTCCTTCAGCCCCAGCACTAGCTCCCATCTAAGTCACAGAAAGTTAGATCCATGACTTGAAGGGAAGTGTCAGTCTTGCCACTCCAGGTTGCCAGAATCTTCTTAAAGCCATGGTTTGGCTGAAGAATGCTCACCAGTTCCACCCAGGGCTTGGCACACTCTGTAAAGTTGTCTTAACTTGGCCTTGTGAACGCTGGGTACATCCATGGTTCTCAGAAGGCAAAGAAATCACCTTTACCCATTTGGCCTCTGGAGAGGGCACAAGAAAAAAATAAGCAACCTCATTTTTTAGCTTGTATGCAAAGCACGTGACTTGTAGCATTAGTTCTCCTAGTGAATCCGTGTGCTTCCTTGTTTGGTGCTGAACTGATGATTCTACTTCTTGTAGAGGAATGGTTTCCACCAACTCAGTTAACCCAACAGGCAAAACTCCATCATTTCTCCAGTGGAGCTGCCATCCCTAAGCCACTGAGTGTGGCCAGAGAGGCCAGCAGCCTCTGTCACTCTTAGTCCTATAAACCAAAATCCTGCTTTCCACAGACCTCACCCAGAATCCCGGGGTTGGGAAGGGAAAGTATTTTGGGACCACATCAGCCTCAGGTTAATGTTTTGCTCCAGTAATGTCTTACTTGAAATAGGCCATCTTCCCAGCATGGTGAGCTGAATTATAAGCTGCTTCATGTACCCGGTCCTGTCACTGTCAATGCGGTGGCTTCAGGTGGAGTTAAACTTGGTGCTGGGGGAGTGCAGGTGGGAGGGATGAGTAGACCTTTCCCCTCCCAAACTCTTGAGTTTCTAGGCTGCATGAATGTTTTCTGCAAAATCAGAGTTGTAGCCAGTTTCTTTGGCTGGAAGGATGAGTCATTTAATTGAGTATTACTGCAGGAGAAGGAGTGGTTTGTGAGGAGTGGATACGGCAGTGTATGATGCGTGAAGTTTCTTTTCCTTGATCATGGGGACCAAGGAAGAAGGGCATGAGTCTCCCCAGCCACAAGCACTGTGCCTCCTGTCAAGAACATTTCATGTCCCTGTAGCTATGTGGCCGCTGCTCCATAAGAATAAAAGTATGACCTAGAAACTAGCCTTTGTTATTTCTTGGTCTGTGATGTGTTTAGTGGTGACTACTGACTGTGGAGTCAGACCTGGGTTCAAGGGCAAGCTCTGCCACTCATGGGGTCAGGTTCCCACTTAAAGGGCTGAAAGACAACATAGGAAAATTACAAGTTTGTGAGAGTAGTGAGATGATGAGTGCTTACTCCATTTTGAATTTCTATCATTGTCACCTGATAATCTGGCTTAAATGTTAAAAAAAAAAAACAGTTGCCACTAAGTTGCTTATGTAATTTACAATCTCGCCATAAAAGAACGTTCTGGATTTTTTTTTTTTTTTAAGGTTATACAATAGTGTAGAAGAACAAGTCATATGGAATACACAAAATCTTACAGGTCTTGGGGAAAAGAAACCTTGAGCCTAAACATCTACCATCTGTTATTCCAAGTAAGCAGAGTCCTTGAGAAAACAATAAGGAACATTCTTGAGGGATTAATGAGGTTGGTTTACATGGGTACATTTAATGACATTGTTTCACTGTTATTCATGAGATTTTCAGTGGCCAGGTTGTTTTTTTTTTTTTTCCAGAAATGGACTTAACAAGTCTGCCTTCCTAGTCTGTATTAGTCTGGAAGCTCTGCTGAAACCTATTCACCATGGGTAACCCTGCTGGTATTTGAAATACCAGTGGGATAGCTTCTAGCATCAGAGCAATACGCAAGCCACCACAGTACAACAGACTGATAGAGGAGTAGCTACAACACCGAGATCAAGCATAGTAGATTGTGGGGATGGCACAGGACTGGGCAGTGTTCCATTCTGTTGTACACAGGGTCTCTATGAGTCAGAACCAACTCAGTGGCACCTAATACCATTTAATGACAAGACACAGAAGTCTTGGAGCATTGTTTAGGCTTTTAGGGAGTTGTTTAATTCAGTGGTCTTCTCTCTACTGATCTTGATCCTATCTAGGATCTGTAATCAACTTCTATTCCTGGGCTGGGCACCATCCAGCTCTTCAGGTCTCTATATTGTGTCAACAATCTGATCAGGCATACATGAATATATGTGGGGTTGTCATGAACTTATTCTTTTGTTTCTCTACAAAATAATGTACCCTACATGGCTGCTTGTCAGCTTTTAAGACTCCAGACCACACAGTGAAAGGCAAGGTAGGGGGTAGGAGCCAAGATAACAGCTTAGTCAGACACACCAAGCCACCCTCTACAGCAAAGACCCAAAAAACACATGAAAGTGATACAGATGACAGTCTTGGAACACTGAACATTGAATTGAACATGGACTAACTCACTGCCATCATGGCAATTCCAACTCATAGTGACCCCCATTGGGTTTCAGAGCTAAATCTTTACAGAAATAGATTGCCTCACTTTCCTTCCATGGAGTGGCTACTGGTTATCAGTCAAATGCCTTAGGCACTTGCAAAAACGACAAGGAGTCCTCATATTCTGACCTCCTAGAACCCCACAAGAGGAAGACAGGATTACCAGCAGTAACCCAAGGCCTATTCCTGCCAGGCCAGACATGCTGCCTCCCTCCAGCCCTTTCTC